ATTTTAAGAACTATGGCTGGAAACTTGAGAAACACTGAACCTAAAAAGGGATTGCTTATTCGTCAAAGGCACTGATGACGACCTGAATATTCTGTAATTTACTGCAGCAACCTGTTACATTGGTTAACCATTTCATTTGCAGGAACAGTCTTCAAGGTTCAACTTCGTCTCATGCTTGTGGTGGGGTGAGACTGAATCCACTTGCTACAATAATTGGCCTATTGTACCAGCCCCGGATGATAGATAATGATGAATGTAGAGCAGTCGGTGGAATGAAAATCGGCAAGGGAAACCGAAGTACTCGGAGAAAACCTTCCCCAGTGCCACTTTGTCCACAACAAATCCCACATCACCTGACATGGGCTCGAACCCGGCGACTAACCGCCTGAGCTATGGTGCGGCCACCTCGCAGACTCTAGGTGTGCCATGTTTTCACATTTTTTATAAATGATACTTCCATGACATATTTCGACCCTATAAGGTCACCATCAGACATGTTATTTCTGCATTGTAATGCTTTTTCTATTTCAGTGTTCTAGAGCTTGGTTGAAACTAGTTAAATTCTGTTAAAATATATTATTTTTATTTTTCAGTTGGTACTCTGTGTTTCTGATATTCCGTGGTTTCTTGGGCAATGTGCAGAGCCTTGTTATGATGTAGCGTTGTTGTGTTGTGTTGGAGGTCACTATTCCGTACAATGTAGTATTGCGTCACTGCCGCGGATGGCTGGTGGTCACTATGTACCGAGTAACTACCAATCAGAGAGTAGGCATTGTTAGTGTCAGGCTAAGGTTAACGAATGATTCTTGAGTTAATTAAGATGAATTCTGGGATACCAAGCTGAAAGCAAAAACGAACATTCGGAAGTCTGAACAAAAGAAAAAGATGGAAATACAGCAATAGAAACAGTTGTCGCTTTGAATTCGTGCGAGACAAAGTAGTATTCTGGGACAAACTTGGCAAACATGACGTGTCTCTAATATGGAACACGTGGTCACCCTACTCCGTGTATTAGAAATATTTTAATTTCTCCATTTTTTACTTAAAATAACAGATTTCTCTGTTTTCTGAAATTTCCGATATGCCTTGCTTTATGTTCAGATCTGACAAGCCTGCCATTCCAGATTTATTCAAAACAATTACATTATTGGCACTGGGACTGGCACTAAGGTAGAGCTTCCACAGTGCATATTTCAGGGTTGCTGCTCTTACTGCAATAAACGAAACACCAGGCATCAGGATGTTAATGCCTTTTCTCTTTCTGATAGCGAACGAGTACCGCGAGCTACCCTGCCACACACTGAATGAACGAATCCACAGTTAATACCCGTAACTGGTCAACGGTTGATTAAACTATCGACTGCCTGCATTGAGTGCGGGCATGAAATTAACGCCAGAAGAGAGAGGTGAGGAGATGCGGCGAACTGCGGGTAGTGGCGAGGGTGGAAAAATGTTGAATCCTCTGAAAGGATACTTAAATATCGGTGAGGTAGTAAAATTGATAGTGAGAATAACAAATTGAAAAACTTTTGCCTGGTAAATAAGTAATAAATCATTAAAACGCGCTGTACATGCACATATTATTAAGTATTATGTTATTTATTTACTTTTATAATCTTTTTATATTTCTTGCATTTGTTAAGTGTTTCAGTGTTTTCCTGTAAGCTACTATTGCTGTTGGAAAATATTCGAAAAAATAAAATTGGTTGTTGTTATTATTATTATAATTATTATTATCATCATCATCGTCATTTTCATCATCAGCCGTCATCAATACAGCCAATCGAACAGTGTGTTCGGCAAATATCTTCATTTAAGGGGGATGAAACAAGAGGGGAATTTACATCACATAGCTAGGAACACCACAATCTTTCTCTCACCTAGAAGTTAGCACAAAGACTTCAATGAGGTTACGATGTGCTGGACGTGTAGCTTGGATGGAGAAACCTAAGACACAAACAAAAAATTCCCAATTGCATCCGCAGAAAGAAAAGTGAAGAAACCGTGGTTATATGTTGTTGAATTCATATTTTTTTTAATGAGAAGAGGTGGGAATAAATAATTTAAATCTATGTGATAACATATATTTCTACTTTCATGATTTAATTTTTTAATTTTCCATGTACTTCGGGTGTTGAGGAGGATATTTTGACCGAAGAGAGATGAAGTGACAGGAGGTTGGAGAAAACTGCATAATGAAGACCTTCATAACTTGTACTCTTCTCCAAGTATAATTAGAATGATCAAGTCAAGAAGGACGTGGGCAAGGCATGTAGCACGAATGGGGGAGAAGAGGAATGCGTATAGGATATTGGTGGGAAAGTGAGAAGGAAAGAGACCACAGGGAAGACCAAGGCGTAGGTGGGTGGACAATATTAAAATGGATCTTAGATATATAGGATGGGATGGTATGGATTGGATTGATCTGGCTCAGGATATGGACCAGTGGAGGGCTCTTGTGAACACGCTAATGAACCTTCGGGTTCCATAAANTCGGTAGCTCCATGAGTAAGTAAGTAAATAAGTTCCATGTACTTCACTTTCGAAGTAAATCCACCAATCATCACAATTAAATAAATAAATAAATACATTCAGCAAGGAACAAAGGACCTTCCACTCCGGCTTGTGACATTATTAAAATGAAACCATATCAATGTTATAGCATTTCCCACAGAATAATATCTACAACACCTTTCAATCAATAGCGCGGTAGCTATGTGATTACATTCGATTCAAAATCATGTGTGGATTACTGCGAGTTATTGGACAGCTGGGATCTATATTCGCTTGGATTATGCAGCCAAAATAGAAGATCTAATTTCAGCTGGTCCTGGTGACGATGCAAATTTTTCGTTTCACAAACAAACACATATATCACAAGTTTGTCATACGGATGGTCGAGGTCATAAAGTTCGTGTGATGTAACATTTTTCGATCGCAGTTGCTTCACGTTTTCCCTAACGAAAAGCGAGAGTGATGCCAATTCTGGCATTTACCAATTACAGTGACAGGCATGTAGGCATCAAATGAATGCCTGTAGTCCGCCTCGTGCAATATTCCCTTCCCATATCCTGAATAACAATGGTGTAACATGTTTCTGATTAATGATGTATTATTTTGTTGCGAAGTATATACAGCTGAAAAGTAATAATGTGATAACGGACTGTGCACAATTAATAGTGACACGAGCTATATTTAAATATTTTTCCTAGAAAGTATCTGACTCAATTAAAGGGAAACCTATGAAATACGACAGTCAATGCTTCAGTTAAAAGTCAGTTTTTAATCTATCTTCATTAATGATAACGAACGGTAGATTTATTGAATATGTAGATAACTTGTACTCTTCTCCAAATATAATTAGAGTGATCAAGTCAAGGAGGATGAGGTGGACAGGGTATGTAGCACAAATGGGGGAGAAGAGGAATTCATATAGGATATTGGTAGGAAAACCAGAAGGAAAGAGATCATTGGGAAGACCAAGACGTAGGTGGGTGGACAATATTAAAATGGATCTTTGAGAGATAGGATGGGATGGATTAAATTGATCTGGCTCAAGATAGGGACCATTGAAGGGCTCTTGTGAACACGGTAATGAACTTTCTGGTTATATAAAATGCTGGTAAGTTCTTAATTAGCTGCAGATTTGGCTTCTTCTCAAGAAGGGCACAGCTCCATAAGTAAGTATGGAAAATATTTAATCATAGGGGGGAAAGTACCACGAGGGTAGAGATAATTACGCAATGACAACTTCATAACTCTATTCTTCAATTCGACTGTTACTGTGTACCAGACAGGAAGACAGGAAGACAGTAAGAAACGAGTAGCACATGTAGTATGACGGTGGAGAAGGGAAATGCGTTTAGGGAATCCGGAAATTAAGATAATAGGTTTGAGATCTAGGAGCACATAGGAGGATAATATTTAAACGAATCTTCCATAAATGGTGTGAAGATAAAGATTAGATTCATGCGACTCAGAATCAAAAGGAGAACATTTTTGTACGCAGTAATAAATCTTCGGGTTATTCAGAAGTAAGTATTTGCTGAGTAACTATAAAATTTAAAGATATTGTCACGTGTAGGGGAACACGCGTGACGAAAATAACGGGTTCTACTTCGGATGAATGGATTTACTGGTGTTCCTTTATAAGTACACACATCAAATAACGTTGTCAACTCTTCAACTATTCGGATGCCTTCTGAGTTCTCTTCAGCTGATGGCTTCTCTGCTTCGACTGAATGTCTCAGAAACTGCTCTACTTGGTAACACGATGAATCTTGAAGAGTCTGTAATCTCTCGAATTTTGGAACTCTCTCATGTTTGCGTGAACGATGTCTACCTCTCGAAAACGCACTAATTCACTTCTGACTTAACGGCTTCTCAACTGGCCTTCTTTTATACCCGCCAGGTGGCAGGATTCTGCTTTTCGTATCCGTTGTAACTATTGGTTTATGTACGTGTGACCACGAGAACGTGTTTACGCTTACTACGATTCCTTCTTTATTACTTGTTGTAACGTGTCAATATTCATTGCCGCGGAAACATGATTACCGAGCCGTTGTCTAGCAATGGACGCCTGGCTCCGATTCCACTATCGCGGCTTTCAGGCGTCATGTCATAATATTATCTGCTTAACTTTACTCGATATTAGTATGTAATAAAGCTTTCACTGGTTGGTATTCTTTTTCGGCAAATGATGGGTGTTAATATCGTTGAATGATATGCCAATTAAAAAATCATTATTTTATATACATGTAATTAAATTTTAAAATAGACACAGATTATAAGACACGCTTTACACATTACTCAAAACGCACAGCCCAGATTTGACATACATATCCCTTCTTCTCCAACCGATTTACATATCCATACCGCAGTAACATATTCCCTACTCTGCAGGAAGATCTCTGCAATCAAAACGTACATAACAGAACCTTCGTCCTATTTTCCAGTTGATGTACGCCTTATCTTCTGAGTATGAACAAGGATACACGTACCTGTATATCGGTAAAGCAGCTCCCTCCTTGTACCAGATAACGAGGTACACCTTGTCGCCTGGGATGGGAGGCGTTATATCACATGGCATCTTGGCAATCCCTCCCGCAACTGCTTGAGTATCCGACACCAGGACTGCAACAGAGATGTAAGCGTCAGTCGCATGTCTCCGCCTCTATTTCCTTTACATAAGTTGCCAAGATACTGCTTGAATGCAGTTAAGGAACACACGGCTAAAGGAGGGATATCTGTTATATTTGGTAAGAAGGAAATGCTGCTACCCAACGCAGCTTTAGTTTTAATTTGGGGGGGTTCAAATCTCCAATGTAGAAATAATTATGAAAAAAGAATGTTGCTGGATGTATAAACACGTCAAACAACAAATGCATTTAAATTGTCCTAACTATTGCTAGAGACGTGAGTTCGTAGAAAGAAACATGACAGTGACAGAGCATTTTATATATAAGTGGACAATTATTTTAATAAAATATGATATAACATAATTTTATGAACAAGTAGTTCAAGCTTTTGTATCACGAATTCAGCGAAGTAGTTTTTAAACATTCAGTTCCTATCTCGAAGAAATCTCACTGCCTCCGTTAAAGAAAAAGAAGAAGAAGAAGACCGACCGTTCAATGTTGCAAGGGAAGCAATTGCTGTGTATTCTCAGAATAACTCTCACTCGCTCACTCACTCACTCACTCACTCACTCATGGATCTGAGCCCTTCTTGAGAACATGCCAATTGTGCAGCCGCTCAAGAACTTCCCAGCATTTTATGGAAACCGAAAGTTCATTACCGTGTTCACTAGAGCCCTCCACTGGTCCTTATCCTTAGCCAGATCAATCCAATCCATACCATCCCATTTTATCTCTCTAATATCCAATTTAATATTGTTCGCCCACCTACTACATGTTCTTGCCAGTGTTCTCCTTCCTTCCGGCTTTCCCACCAATATCCTACATACATTCCTCCTCTCCCCCCATTCCGTGCTACATCCCTTGCCCATCTCATCTCCCTTGACTTGATAATTCTAATTATACTTGGAGAAGAGTACACTTTATGAAGCTCCTTATTATGCAGAATCATATGAAACATAAACATAATTAACGAAGAAGAAATCGAGTTCATGAATATTATATAAGGTGCCACACAGAATAACCTTTTTGTTTTAAAACGTTAAGTCAATTATATGTTAGTAATGCGTAACGTCTGAAAAATTACTCCGTCCGAGTGGGGATTCTACTCGTTCTTGAGGCAGCTATGTCTTGCTAAATGCTGTCCTAAAGACACTGTTTCCTACCAACAATTTTCGCACTGCTGGACTGGATTCAAAGGCTGCCGATTTTCCTGTGTTGAGTTACAGAAGGGCTCTGTGTAGGCGCCAGGTATTTCTCCTGTTAAGGTCCAGGCAATTTCTGTAGACAGCCAGACAGCAGTATCGTCCTGCATCAACGACTGTTACAGACCTCTGAGATTCACTGGAATTTAAGTCAATGAATCGAAGATACGTAGGCGAAATCATGTGTGGAGAATGCAAGAGTGATAGTAGAGGACAGGAGTTAACCCAGGAATGTCTATTGCACGGCATACCTTCGTTCGTTACGGATCGATAGTACTGTAATTATTTCCTTATCCAAGGAACGTTTACTGTAATACACCGCATTTATGTTGGAAGTTTTCTGCGTTATATCTAACATGCACAACATTCCAAAAGTACAGCTAACTCCGGAAACATACTGATATAAAGTATGTCTCAGGAAATGGATAACGTACAACAGAATTACGGTACATACACTGTCAGAAACCTTCAGACAATCATCTCTAATCGATCGGTAACACGAAACATTTGGTGGAAAAAATCACGAGAAAGCTGGATACAGATAATGTTAAGCAGTATAAGCAGGGTTATCTTTCTCGATGACAGACCTTACTGTGAACATTCAAGTCTCTGTAAACTTAACAGACACCTAAGGTTATGAAATAAGCTGCCTCTAGCCTACCGTCAGTTAATATAATACGGCGTTCAGAGAAGTTGCTAAGCGGGGAGTCTGCAAACAACGACTGTTTCGCGGAAACGGCTCGGTAAACACGTTCTCGCGGCACACCGAGTCACCAATCCAAACCCCGTCTATAGTCACACACTAAGTGATAATAATCTACCAACGATGCAACAAGATCCTGGTCACATCCATTTCGCGGAACTACATACCTGACTCTCCAATACAGGTCAGAAGTGTTTATCTGATTAGCCATGAAATAGAGTAATTTTCCAGTAGAATAAAGGTAAACAAAAACGTTATATTGGACTGTTTCACCCTTTCCCGACAATTTCGGGCGTAGTGTCTTAAAGCAATTCACAACTGTATCCTTATACATACTTTCTGAATTTAACATTTATAGTAATCCTCCAATCACTCCCGTACTGAATCACAGGCAAAATTATAGCTTTGTATATTCTAATTTTTATGTTTTTGGACAGCAGACGAACGATAGGAAGCATTACTCGAGTTCAATCTCCTCTTAATTTGCTCTTCAAACAGGTTCTATTAGAATGATCAAGTCAAGGAGGATGAGGTGGGCAAGGCATGTAGCACGAATGAGAAGAAGAGGAATGCATATAGGATACTGGTGGGAAAGCCAGAAGGAGAGAGATACCACTGGGAAGACCAATGCGTAGGTTGGCGGACAATATTAAAATGGATCTTAGAGAGATAGGATGGGATGGTATGGATTGGATTGACCTGGCTCAGGATAGAGACCAGTGTAGGGCTCTTGTGAACATGGTAATAAATTTTCGGGTTCCATAAAATGCTGGGAAATACTTGAGTAGCTGCAGAATTAGCGGGTCCTCAAGAAGGGCTCAGCTCCATTAGTAAGTAAGTAAATAATCCTCCTATTCTACGCTACGTAACTTATTCAGATTATAAAATGTTGTTATAATGAGAAACAAACAAGCATTTCTTTACTACTTTTGTACGTTCGTCAATCGGGTTATTTCATAATCCAGGATATCATCCCTAAAGACTGAAATATATTTATATGGCCAATTTCAAGCCTCCCAACCTGTGATTTAATGACACTGAGAAGGGTGATTAGGTGTGGTGATATTCGAACATGTGATCTCGTGAATAAAGACCACACATTCAACGCTTCGACGACCATCGTCCAAGGGACTGTAGTTATATCTTCAACTCACTCACTTATGGAGCTGAGCCCTTCTTGAGAGGCCGCCAATTGTGCAGCTACTCAAGAATTCAACCCGAAGGTTCATTACCGTGTTCACAAGAGCCCTCCACTGGTCCCTATCCCCAGCCAGATCAATCCAATCCATGCCATCCCATTCTATCACTTAAAGATCCATTTTAATATTGTCCACACACCTACGTCTTGGTCTTCCCAGTGGACCTTCAACATTAAAATTACGTAAATACCTTCGGTAAACCGCAGACAATTTAGTCAAAATGACTATTACAGTCAGAGAGAGAAATAATTTTCGAAGGTGAATTCTGATAACGACAATAAAATCACGTTTTAATGGTTCTTTAGGTGAGTCGTAGCGTTAACATGTCCTTCGGTTTTTTGGACGGAAATTCGATACTCAACTTCAGCTGTAATAATTTAGTGCGGTCGCAAACACTGACCGATAGAGAACAACTCTCGGAACGAAGCTCTCTTAAGCTGTAAATTAGGTGCTAGTTTCTATTAACTCTACAGAATTAACCTCAGTGATCTCATATCCCACATAATTTGCATAAACATCGAACAGCAAGGCTGCCCTTGTGGTTACAGAATATGTTCTTCATCTCAGGGAACAAGTTCATGTATCTAGAGGTGACGTTGGACCGTAAAGCGTTGTTAGTATTGGTTTTGAAGAGCTTCATACATCAGTTTTCTTATTTTGTCCTGTACCCCGCAATCAAGAATGCTGGTAGTTCATTATTTATGCTTAGCATGAATGAAGCCTTTCATTTTAATTAAAACAGTGGAATGCTGGGAGCATGAGAACCTTTCTACACGTCACGGTGATGGAAACACGCAGATAATGCCAACGTTCGAACATCAAACATCCCACCTACATAATACATAGCAATTTCTCATATTTCATTAAATTTTACCCAGTTTTTTACGTTGAGATATTAACCCAACAAGGCATATGGCGCACAATACAGCCTACGGGTAAACATGAAGAGTACAGAAAGTTTCAGAGAGCGGTCAGAATCCTACTCATGCCTAGTATGCAGAGGGATCGGGTATCGATTCTAGGTGAGCAGGTACGCTAGCCTTAGGTCTCTAATCATTTATATCAGTCACAGGATTACAGAGGTAAAAAAAGAAGCTGGGATAGCTCAGTTGGTATAGGAATGGGCTACGATCTGAAAGGCTTGGGTCCGATTCCCGGCGAGAGAAAAAGATATTTCTCTACTCCAAAACGTCCAGATCGGTTCTGAAGCCCACCGAGCCTCTTATCCAATGACTACGGAGGGCTCTTACCCTGAGGTTAAAGTGGCCGGGGCGTAGAAAGCTGACCACTCAACTTCATGTTGTCTCAGTATCAAGAACAGTGGACCTTAACTTCATTCCCTTATGCGTCTCCATGCCGTCTGTCTCTAGTAAAGTAAGTAAAGTAAAGGTATCCCCGTACCAGGCCGTGAAGACACATAGGGTTGTGAGATGTTGAGGTTCCCACATTATCTAGACAATCGGCTCAGAGATGGCGGTAAGGTTGTCAGGCCTACACGCTGGCCGCCCTTTAACCCCAGGAAGATTCCTGGTACTCATTTTTGTTAGAGGCTGAGTCGACATCAGGGCCACGGTGCGGCTGGAAGGATTAGGTCAATCGAAAAAAAAATCCATCTCATCGGGGCTAGAACCCGCAAACTTCTACCTTCCTGTTGCTCCCACTTGGAGCATAGGACATCCGTGAAAACGTTTTGCTTCACTTCATTTTACAGACGTTAGGACTACTTGGACGGAGGAACAGCCCGTCACAAGGCCGCTACCTACACACAAACACAGAATAAATGCAGACAAACATCCATGCCTTGAGTGGGATTCGAACCCAGAATTCCAGTGTTCGAGAGAGCCTTAGACCGCGCGGCCACTCTAATCGGCCTTTTCGTGGTGTGGTGCTA